TCTCTCTTCTGGCATATGTACATATGTATCTATGTATGTATGAATATATGTATGTACATAATTGTTTGTTGAGTCAGATTTATGAATTCGTCTTCTTTTTTCCCCCCGTGATAAAAATAGATTGTATAGTAAAGATTTATAATTTTTTTATATTGTAAATAATATCAAATGTATTTACCTATGATTAATATTGAAATTCGATATGTATATTGTTTATAATAATTAAACAGTTAGTTTCTAGTTTGGCAAAATTTGAAACACGTGTTTTCATTTCCTACCGCATTAAAAAAAATCTTGAAAGAAACAGAGTTGCCAATACGACTTCTTAATTATTTGTTAAAAGCACATTCCTTTTTAAAGGATTCAAAATTATTGTTGTGAAATTATACAATGTGGGAATAGTTAAAAAAAATATTACATTATTGCCATAGATATTTTCCACAATAAGTTTTTTTGTGGTTTACATGGTAGCTAGCTTAAAAACCTATTTTTTTAGAAAACCACAAATTCCGTGTAATATTTGTTGCTGTAAGTTTAAATGTATACGAAACTTCTAGATGTTTTTTGAAAAAAAGTACATGTAAAAATTTTGTTAATTCAGTACTTTTTTTATTATCCGCCATGAGACAGACGTTCTAAATACCTTTACTAAAATTGCTAAAAATGCCTAAAATGGGGGTCTATCCCGAAATTTAAGTCATTATTGAAAATAAAAAAGGTCCGACCAAGGTTTATTCATAAGGTTAACCGGCAGGCGAGTTCGTGCATTAGTTTTCTGTTGCTGTCAACTTTTTAATCGCGAAATACAAACCAGAACAGTATAAAAATTCAAAATATCTTTCAAAAAAGTATTGATAAAATTGTGCACGAATATTTTGTTTCGAATAAACGTATTTTTTGTTTATTTATTCTTCAAACTATAAATTTGACGGTCAATGAAGACTTTGAATTCGCCTCCCTGTTAACCCTATGAATAAACCTTGGGTCCGTCATTTTGTTAATTTTTGAGCGAAGTCAATAATCCTAGTTTATACGAGACCAATACATGTACTCTTTCTAACACCCTTGGAATTTCCAGATTCCGATGTTCAAGTGAGGAGTTATCATGCCCGCCATCAAAAATAAGGACTTTTCTTTAATCACCAAAAACAACAACAAAACAGCAACAACCAAATTTGACAAATTATTTTTCTTCTCTTTAAAATCTTTAATTATATATGCGTAAAGTTACAAAGCTTAACATGCATTGGCATTCATTTACCAGCCTAATGAAAATCTTGAAAATTTGAAATCGAGAATGGGCGAGGTTCCCTTAAGAGTTGATTTTCTAACCAATTAGTGTCTAAAATATTAGATTACATATAATTTGATTGAAAAGATTGCGCCAACTCCCCAAAATATTAAAATTTGATAGTGATCATAATAATGGGGGCAATATTCTAAAAAGTGGGTCAATATTTATAATTTTTTTGGTAGTAAGCCAGTGAGATTCCAAAATATTGAATTATAGACAATTCATTTGAACAACGTGTCCAAAATACCGAATGATGGGAGGGTACCGTTATATGGAACCTACCCGGAAATTTAAGTCAATATGTCAGTTCCAGTACCTGCAAAAATTTAAAACAATTTTTACGCCGATACAAATTTCTCCTTTATGATATCGAAAAAATACTAGACCAAAACAAAAAAATTTTGAGAATTTTTATTTCTAAAAATCCGAAATTACAATTTTATAGCTCGTTTGGTTGGAAATAGTGGAACAAAAACATAATTGTTTAAAAATATCGAAGTTTTTGAGGTACATTAATGGGGACTACTCTGAAAAGTGGACCAATATTTATAATTCGGTTGAAAAACTTGACCAAAATCCCCAAAAAAGTAAAACAATGATTATACGAAATTTCAAAGCTATATCATTAATCACCATCGCACTATGTCGCGAGTTCATATTAACAGCGGCCAAAAGATAGAAGGAGTTATCGTAGGTGGATGAAATTTGGTACAAGTGCTTATTATTGGCATAAATAGCAACAGACAAAAAATTGGATAGATCGGACCAAGATTTGGTATACCAACCATATAGTGGGTCTTGAGAATTTTTTCCTTTTTGGACTATAAAATATTTAATTTTCCCAAATTCAATGAAAATTGGCATTTTTATCTACATACTTATGTCTGGAAAGCAACTGACAAGAAACTGTATAGGTCGGACCAAGATTTGGTATACGTCCCATATAGTGGGTCTTGAGAATTTTTCCCTTTTTGGACTATAAAATCTTTAATTTTCCCAAATTCAATGAAAATTTGCATTTTTATCTACATACTTATGTCTGGAAAGCAACTGACAAGAAACTGTATAGGTCGGACCAAGATTTGGTATACGTCCCATATAGTGCTTTTTGAGAATTTCACCCTTTTTGGCCTATAAAATCTTTAGTTTTCAACCTAATTAAACGAAAATTGGAAATTTATATCTACTTAGGTCCATGGAGCAACTGACAAAAAAAAAAACGGAAAAAATTGGACCAAGATTTGGTATACCTCCCATACAAAGGGTCTTAAAAAATCCGCTTTTTGTGCCTATAAATTCGTAAACATTCTGCCAGATTCTATGAAAATTTACAATTTACTTAAAATTGGGACGAAAACAGTAATAAGTGTTGTAATTTAGATGTTGGTTAACGTTTCAGAACGCTTACCATACAAAGGACCCTGAATACGTAATTATATTCCTGAATAAGTAACTATTCTATACCATAAAATCACTATTTACCACTATATTTGTCTAGTTAATTTTATTAATAACAAAATATTTCATATACTTTAGTTACCACATACATTATTGATTTATCATTAATCAGATTTTCAGAACATACATCAGGAATAAATTAAATATTGTATTCCCAAATGTACGATATCGTATGAACCATGTTATAATTTCGGGCCTTTATTTTATTGCTGTTAAAGGATATAACAGGGTCATGTACGAAAAAGTTTCTATATGAACTTCTCATAAACGTAATACAAGTGCGTTACCTAAATTTATACCTAAAGAAGGACTAAATAATGCTGACCAAATCAAATTCAAAAGCAACCATAAAAAAAAACAATATTTTATAATCTCCGCTTCTGATAGCATTCTTTTCCAATTAATTGCAAATTTTATGTAAAATGTATGATTACTATGTTCTGAATCATAGTAATCATACAACATCTAGTATGCATAACATATTCGATCCTTAACTTTTAACTATTTATTGAATATGTCGTATTTTTTAATAAAGTGGTCACTAAAAAACGTAAACAAATTTTAGGTCCGCAAGTCTCCGCAGCTAATTTCTTACACGTAGAAGAACACCCTTTTCACAACTCAAATAAAAAAGAATTAGGAATTATGTCGAAATCTGAACCGATTTTCACGAAATTTAACACACATTACTCTACCATTATTGTAGTACGCGATGCTAAATTTCGTGCAAATCGAAAGATATGTATATAGTCACTTTGGTGCACTATTTACCTAAGATCGAATGAAAATATATATGGGAGCTATATCTAAATCTGAACCGACTTTCACGAGATTTAACTCACATCATTCTAGGCTTAATTCAGTACGCTGTGCCAAATTTCGTGCAAATCGAATGATATATAGGTACTTTGGTGCACCATTTACCCTAAATCGAACGAAAATATATACGGGAGCAATATCTAAATCTGAACAGATTTTCAGGAAACTTAACACTCATCGTTCTGGACTTAATTCAGTACGCTATGTCAAATTTCTTGCAAGTCGAAAGTTATATAGGGACTTTGGTGCACCATTTACATAAAATCTGACGAAAATATATATGGAAGCTATATCGAAATCTGAATCGATTTTTACGAAACTTAACACAGATCGTTCTAGGCTGTGCCAAATTTCGTGCAAACTGAAAGATATGTAGGTACTTTTCTGCACCATTTACCTTAAATCGAACGAAAAAATATATGGGAGATATGGATTTTAACGAAATTTAACACACATCACTCCAGACTTAATTTAGTACGCGATGCTAAATTTCGTGCAAATCGAAAGATTTATAGGTACTTTGGTGCACCATTTATCTTAAATCGGGCGATGGGGTTCGTCCTTGGGCCAAATAAAAGAGCTGTTCCAAATTTCATCCAAATCGGATCATAAATGGGACCTGTACTTTGTTTACAAATTTAACAAGGACAGACAGACGGACGGACATGCATAAATCGACTTAAAAACTGATTCTATTCATATTCTCTAAAGGAACCACGTGTCTATCACGTTTCCTTTTGGCTTTTGTTACAAACATATGCACCCTGTACAACAGTGTGGTGACAAAATTTTTTCACAGGCGAGATTTCTCCTTGGCGAATATTCAGAATAAAACTGAATATGATTTTTTTTTCAAAAGAAAAAAAAACGACTTCATCAATATCTATTTACAGAATAAGTATTTATTTTATTCATTTCATAATACAAGTCCAATTTAACTAAGAATGAAATTCTTACTGCTTTAACATATTCCAAGATTTAAACTTGAAATAAAACCCAAGAATGTCCACCTGTCCGACGGTGTTTCGTTAAAAATCCTAATACCCTATTCTTCGTTCTTAATTTTAGCTGATTACAACAGGCACACGTGCATACCCATGATAAAATCGTATTAATAGTCGACCTTACTTGATGACGGTTTCCATGTACTTACCTTGATTAGGTCCAAAAACAAACAGTTTTCTTGTTGTTTCAGATTTTCATTGAAATCATCGTCGCGATAAGACAACACTTTATAGATTATAGACCCCTCATAATTATGTCCAATATTCTTAAGAGAGTAATTTTTTGTTGTCTTATGTTGATGAGCCAAACAATGTCCAATGCTTTAAATCTATTAATTAATTCTTCTCTATTCAAATCAGCAACTAATTTTATTTATTTTTTCTGTTTCTTTATCTTTTCCATTCCAAAACAGCAAACAAAACTGGTCATATTGCTATTATGGATTCAAGGTTATTAAATGTAGTCTATGATGATCCGTTTGACGGAAATTTTACAAAATATGACAATGATACAGATTTTTGGTCCAGTGGAGCGAGCGAGTAAGTTTTTCTTTTTTCCACAACCAAAAAAGAAAATCATCTCTGTGAACATGATTATGTTAATGAATAAATGTCCATAATTTTTATAGTACCATGGGTATGCAATTAACAGAGACATTGCATGGCATATTGCCCATAGCGCCAACCGATGATTTTGGCAAAGAAGAAAATGTAAACGCGTTGGGCTTACAGAGTGGTAACAAAAATGCGGTAGGTTTCAAAAAAAAAAATAAATAAATAAAATAGAAGAGACGTTATGAAGCATTTTTTTATTAATGTGAATATATACAAATGTCTTCTTCTTCTATTTCCGGCAATTGTTGTTCACAATATAACAGTTTTCGTATGAAGATTTTGCTGGACAGCACTTAACAGCTGGTGGTGCCATTGAAATAGTAACGGTTGATCCGAATGCTGATGGCTATGACAGTGATGAGAGTGACGACGACGATGATGAGGATGATGATGATGGTGACGTTATTCAAACTAATGCTGTACATCATAATGGTCTAATTGAATTTGATCGACAAAGCCAGTGCAGCAATTTAACATTTCGTACAAGAACAGATAGTTCTTCCATTGGAGACTATGAGTCACACACAAGTGATTATGATGATAGTGACGATGAGGATGATGACGATGATGATGATGACGAGGACGACGATGATGATTATGATGATAATGAGGAGGCCCACAATGCCTATGTTATTGGTCAAATGGGCAATATTCAGATGCCAACAACTGTCAATGCTACTCTCAAATCTTCATCGTCATCACTATTACCATCTACAGCAGCTGTGATTAATACAACAACAACATCAAATGCATCAATTTTATCCACACATCATCTCATTTCACCTGATGAAAATCTAATTTTGGACACAACATCGTATCATAAAAATCGTACTATCAGTACAAATACCATTAATTCCGATGTCGATGGTTTGGGTTTGAATATCGATGCCAGTAATTTTGATTTAGCTGAGTTTATAACTAAAGATGATTTTACGTTAAATCCCATAAATGAGGACGATGACGATCTATCATCAATTGCAATAACAAATCATGGCATAACAGCAACAGCAGCAACAACAACATCATCTTTAGCTTCCTCGTCAGGAGGAGCAGCAACAAAAACACTAATTTCATCATCGAAAACAATTGATTCCGATTCAGAGTCGGATATAATTGTTGATGTGGAAACCGTTGAAGCTGATGATGATGATGACAACTCATTGAATTCGCTGAGAAAAGCATCGGATCTATTAAAACCACAAATGGAAATGGCGGCGGCGCCTGCGGTAATGGAACCATTAAAGCCACAACAACAAGAGCAGCAGCAAGAAGAAGATATAACATTTGTTGATAATACAACAAAAGACCCCTCCTGGAGTCCACCGGGACCCCAACAAACGTCGAAGAAACTGGAAAGTGTTAAAAATGAGGTAGTGTTTCTATTTTTTTTTTCTGATTAAAAAGTATTTAATTCAAATCCCATTTTTTCTCCTTTTCAGGAAAAATCATCAAAGTCATCGACACCCAACAGAAATATTACATTAGTTCCTAATAAAAAACAATGTGACCTATTAAAGGGGAAATTTGGCAAGGGTAAAGCGGCAAAGGTGGTCAACCACCAGAAACCACCAGCAAAAGTAACAAAAACCAATCCCAACGCAACATCAACTGCTGCTACTCATCCTCATTCTGCTCCTGCACAGGAAAGAAAAACCGGCATTGGTATGGGTGGAAAAAATTTAGCCTTGTTGCGGTATCATGAACGTAGCAGCAGTAGTATATCGGAACCCAGTTCAGAAGAAAATACAACACCTATTAAAATTCAAAATCCCATAAAAATAGAACAGAAGGCGGCTCCATTAATAACAACAACACCATCAACAACAATGCAAGTACATAAAAAAGAGCAACAGGAACAAGAGACAACAGCAACAACCTCACCTCAAATGTGTAAAAGCAATAGGGCTGCAACAACAACAACAAGCTCACCTCAAAAGGTATCAGGTGCAGCCGCAGCAGCAGCATGTAAGAGGAAATTAAATTTAGAAGAATATAAAAAGAGACGTGGAGATACAACACCATTGGCAATGCTACAAGAAGCTAAAACAAAATTACAATCTTATAAAATTCCAAAATTAGAAGATAAATCGACGACAAATAAACAAATTACCCCGACAACACAACAAACACAAAAACACAGCGAAGCTGTTAAATCGGTTGTCAAAACCCTCAAAGAGCAACAACAACAGCAACAGCAACAAAAAATCCAAGTTGTAGATCCCATTACCGAGGCTAAAAACAAAGTTCTACGCATGCAGGAATTGAAAAAGGCCCAACAAATGCGCATTATTGACTCCACAATATCGGCAAAGGTACCGCGCGTCACAAAACTTCCACCACTCAGGGAAATTGTAAAGGATTCACCCTATTTCAATGATGCCGACAATGCCACACAATCTTTTAAATGCCATCCCGACTACGAAGAAATTATCATAGTCTCGGCTAGTTGTAATACAGACATTTCAATACCACCCATACCGAATTCCAGTATACAACCTGTAAATACAGCCACCAGATCGTTGCTTAAATCTTCAGCATTGCTATCGTCCATTACCAACACGTTCCAAAAAGTCAAAGCTGTTGATAATGGCAAAATATCGACAAGTTCCCTTATTGCTAGCATACAGGATGTGGTGGTGAAGAAAACCTTACCGGTTGAGAATAGTGACGAGGACGCCAACAACACAACCTCCTCCGCCTCAAATGATGCTCAACAAAAGTCCGAACAACATGGTGAGGATAAAATCATTATGCACTTGCGTAAGGATAGAATACGAAAACGTACCTCAACCATAGCCATACAAACTGATTTGCAACCAGAATTTCCACCGCTGCCATTGCCCAAAGGCGCCATGCAACATAAATCTCGTGAACGTATGCGCAAACATCGCAAACGTCAATATCGCAAACACAAGGACACCACATTGTCATCATTATCTTCGGAATATTCATCCGATGAACAATCGGATCATTCCAATGCATCATCGATTTTACGTTCACGTGATAACAGCTCCTCATCGTCTATCGAACGAATGCGTACCTATGACAGTGCCATTGGAACTGGTGGTTATTCCTCAAGAAGTAGTCGTAAACATCGTAGCTCTATGTCATCATCGTATTCTGAATCGTTAGATCGTGAGGCTCGAGGTCGTCGTCAACGGCGTACAAGTTACAAACAACGTTCGTCGCGTAAACTTTCATCCGGTTCACCGTACAGCAGTTCCACGTCATATACATCCGATTCTGATCGTTCTCGCAGTCCATTATATAGGCGTTCACGTAGCCGATCAACATCACGCGGCGATGGTTCACGTTCGAGACGTTCAAGTTATCGTCAGAATAAAAAGAATTTTGTCGATCGCAATGTCTCACAACCAGCGGTCGAAGAACGTCGTATTGTCTACGTTGGTCGCATCGAACAGGAAACGACTAAGGATATGCTGAGGCGTAAATTTTTACCCTATGGCACAATTAAACAAATTAGCATACACTATAAGGATACGGGGTAAGTTTGAAGTTTGTTTTGAAAATTAAAAAAGTGTATTTTGCTAATTAAGAATGGAATAATATTCAATTTACAAACCCAATTTATTTATTACATATTGTTTTTTTTTTCTTTTAGCATGAAATATGGATTTGTGACATTTGAAAGATCACAGGATGCATTCAATGCCATCGATAATAGTACACGTGATCCGCAGATAAATATGTATGATGTCAGTTTTGGCGGTAGAAGAGCTTTTTGCCGGGCATCTTATGCTGATTTGGGTAAGTTATAAGAAAATATTTGAAAAAGTCATGACACCCATATAAAAGTCTCTCGATCGATTTAAGGTATATTGTGAATGGTGAAGGAGGTTGTAAAAGTTCGGCCAATGTTGGGTATTTACACCCATCACGACACTGTGGTACACAGGGTATTAGATACATGGTTCCTTTTGAGAATATGCATAGAATCACTTTTTGAGTCGATTTATGCATGGCCGTCTGTCTGTCCATGTTAAATTGTAAAATCGTTCAGATTGGGATATAGCTCCCATATAATTTTCGTTCGATTTCATGTAAATGGTGCACCAAAGTTCCTATATAGCTTTCGATTTGTACGATATTTGGCATAGCATACTGAATTAAGTCTAGAATGACGTATGCTACGTTTCGTGAAAATCGGTTCCGATTTGGATATAGCTCCTATATATTTTTTTTCCGATTTAAATAAGTGATGCATCAAGGAATTCATGTTTATTAGGTTTCAAATAATCAACGTGTGTCCGATTTGAGATTTACCTTAAATCGATTTACATAATTTTATCTCATTCTCTATCCAAATGAAGAGTTTAGAATGGCATGTTTATGGATTGATCTAAGTCGGTTAGCATTTAAATATACATCACATATTTTAGTTCATCCAATTTCATGTCAATGGTCCTTCGAAAAATATATTTAAAAAAAATATAGTGTTGGCGGTTTATTTGGGATACCATTTGTATTTTGTTTTTGCAAAATAGTCAGGCTGAATCCCAGTTTATCTCTTACCCTCGGCAAACAATGCCATACATTCCCCACTAATAAATAGTTGTTTTTTTTTGCTATTTTGCAAAAATAAAAAAATATATTTAAAACATATATATTTAAAAAAAATATATATCAAAAAAATATATTTAAAAATATATATTTAAAAAAATATATATTAAAAAATATATATCTAAAAAAATATATTTAAAAAATATATATTTAAAAAGTATATATTAAAAAAATATATTTAAAAAAAAAATAATATTTTTTGAACAATGTTTTTTTTTTTTTTGTTTTAAATAATATACTCAGTCTCTTTTTTTGTTAATAATATTAAAATTAATATAATTTCATTTCTATTTTTTTTATTCATTACAGATAATGCCGGCATTAATACCTATCAATCGTATGTTTTTCCACAACAACAACAGCAACCCAAAGAAGAAGATTCATTTGAGGCTTTACTTATGAAAATGAAAGCAAAATTGAGTGCTAATAAAAATACAACATCGGCGGCACCACAATCGTCATCATCGTCACCAACGATACCTTCGTCATCATCTACGTCTACAACAACAACACCTTTGGCCAGTACAGATAATACAAACACCAATAACAATAACAAAATTGCCAATGGTAAAATTTGACGGCTTTATGGTTCGGCTACTGAAACTATCCACAATTTAATTTGTTTACCTCTATTATATTCTCTACAAAAACATATTCTTTTCAAAATATTCATTTGCCATTATTATTATTTCAAATATTACAATACTACAAATAATGCCGCTAATATAAATATTTTAATATTTTCCAAATTTTCTATACAATAGAATTTTTTTTACCAAACACACCACACAAGACGCCTTTAGTTCCATTAATGTTTTAATGTTTCTTTTATTTCTTTTAAGTTTAATTTTTTTTTTAATAATTAAGTTTCGCCAAGATTATCGTCGTCGGAGACAATGTCTGAATAAATAAAAAAACAAATTCCTATAAAAAAAAAACTGTGAAAGCTAGCTGATGGCTGACTGACTAGAATGTTATTTAAAGTGTGAATAATAATGTACAACAATTGTTATATATAAAAAATTATTATTATTATTTTTTTTTAATATTTAAATTTAATATTGTATAGTTATAAAACGAAAGTTAAAAAATAGTTAATTTTGTTAACTTCCACAGTAATTTTTTTGCATGGATTTGTTTTTTTTTTTAATTTCTGAAAAAATATTTTTTGGGCGTGTAAATTAAAGATGATTAAAAATGGAATAATAGCCATGACGGATACAAAAATAACTTAATCCCCTCCCCTTATTATAAAAATATTGGAAATTGTAAATTCAAACTAATTGTTTTTGGAGGAGGGAAATCATCACATGTTATAAAAGTGAATGTGAATTTGTTATGATGTTTATATAGAAACCTCCCGCTTTATTCGATAATCAACTACTTTAATTTCACCTAAAAAATATGGAAATTTTTGCGCTCCGATGCACTCTTGGCACTAAAAGAAATGTGATATAAAACTAAACAATTAAACAAGAGTCATTAAACTTAGGTTCTCCCCCCATCCCCCTATAACTTAAAAGGTAATAGAAATATTAAAAACATTAAATTAGAAAAAAATAAAAACAACAATAGGTTATTCTGAAAAAATAGGTAGAAATGAAACACAAAACCCTGATACCCTAACCTCCTCAATAACCAGAAAAAATCCATACATAGAAAATTTATATAATTTATTTACTTTTTTTATTATTAAAAACAAAAATACATGTTTTACCCAAAGCAAATAGTTATCGGTTTATCTCTATCTGTAACACCAAACCGATAAACTGCCATGCTTATAGCAAAAAAAAAAAAAAAAAAATTATATGCTTTATGGCGGGGTACAACAACTTAATTTTAATAAAAACATAATTTTGTTGTCCACCCGCCCTATGACCATACGAAAAAGCAAACAAACATAATACAAACCATATAATTTTTTTCATCCATTCAAACTTGAATTTTGTTAGTCTGCTGCTTCCCCCCACAAGACTAACATGAATTAACTGTTGATAATAAAACCTTGATATTAGTTTGTAATGTATAAATTTTTTAAACTCATTTTTTAAATTGTATTAACTAATGTTTGTTTGTTTAGCGTCAAACACAACAACAAACATGACAAACAGCAGAAATTAGTTAAAAAAACGTTTCATCTTTTTGAAAAAAATGATCCACAAAAAATTTAGTTTTAGTTATAAAAGCAAATAAAATGCATTAAGTTATTATTTTTTCTACTCTCTATTAATCGATATTTGTCAAAACCCCATCCCCAAAAAAAAAAAAAAAAAAAAAAAAAACAGCCTTTGTTTAGAAAAAAAGTTCCATAGTTTTCTCTTTTTTTAAGTTTGTACTGAATCTACAGCTAATGTTAATGCAAATTTAGAATGTTGTAAAATTTTATAAAGAAAAACAAAACCAAAACATGTTATGATTTTATTATGTTCTCTATTTAGTTTCTACATGAAAACAACAACAATGTGTAATTTCTTTACAAAGGAAATAAAAAAAAAATAAAATAAAATAAAAATGCATATGATTTGAAAAAAAAACACAATCTTGTTTTCATTCAACTGAGTGTGAGATGGAAGGATTTCGAAGACATCAATCTATCGGATGTCAAGCGATCACGATGTCCATTAAGATAAATTAGTATTTAACAAGCATAGACACGAACCATACATATTAACATTACAGTTAACAGAGCTCTGTTAATGCTGCCGGCAATTACTAAATACCCAAATTCAGCAAATATAGGAAAAATTATTAAAAATCGAAAATAATTTAATTTTGATATTCCAAAATGTGATTTTTTTGTAAAAGTACAATTTATAAAATATAACTTTTTTGAGTAGCTCTGTTAACGTTAACGTGACCAATTCTCAGGAAACATAAAACACATCATTCTAGTCTTAATTCAGTACACTACGACAAATTTCGTGCAAATCGAAAGATATTTAGGGACTTTGGCGCACCATTTACCTTGAATTGAACAAAAATATATATGGGAGCTATATCTAAATCTGAACCGATTTTTACGAAACTTATACACATCATTCGTGCAAATCGAAAGATATATCGGACGAAAAGATATATGGGAGCTTTATCTAAATCGGAACCGATTTTCAGGAAATTTAACACACATCATTCTAGACCTAATTCATTACGCTATGCCAAATTTCGTGCAAATCGAAAGATACCTACAGACTTTGGTGCACCATTTACCTTAAATCGAACGAAAATATATATGGGAGCTATATCTAAATCTGAACCGATTTTCACGAAACTTAACACACATCATTCTAGACTTTATTCGGTACGTGATGCCCAATTTCGTGCAAATCGAATGGTATATAGGGTCTTTGGTACACCATTTACATTAAATCGGACGAAAATATATATGGTATATCTAAATGATAATCTAAATTTCAATAGGGTTTGTCCTTGGGCCAAATAAATGATCTATGCCAAATTTCATCCAATTCGGTTCTAAATGCGACATGTACTTTGTTTACAATTTAACATGGACAGACAGACGGACGTGCATAAATCGACTTAGAAAGTGATTCTATGCAAGTTCTCAAAAGGAACCATGTGCCTATCTCGCTTTCTTTTGCCTGTTACAAACATATGCACAAAGACATAATACCCTGTACCACAGTATGGTGAAGGGTAAAAAATGGGATGGATCGAATTTCAATTTCTTAAACGGATGGTGACTGAAGATGAGAAATGGATCACATACGACAACTCTGTGCGAAAACGATCGTGGTCAAAGAGCGGTGAAGCACCTGAAACGGGGGCCAAACCAGGAATAACGGCCAGGATGGTTCTGCTATGCATTTGGTAGGACTAGAAGGGGATTATTTATTATGAGCTGGTTCCATTTGGACAAACTCTAGATTTTGATCTCTACTGTCAACAACAGGACGGTTTGAAGATAGCAATTGACCTGAAACGGCCAGAATTGACCAACAGGAGAGGTGCCGTGTTCCATCTAGACAACGCTGGGCCACAAATACCTACAGTGTCCCGCCAGAAACTTCGGGAGCTTGATTGGGAAGTTTTAATGCATCCGTCATACGGTCCGAATTTGGCACCAAGCGATTATCACCTTTTTATTGCATTGCAAAATTTCTTTAATGATAAAACAAATTGCTTTCTAGGGAGGATTGTGAAAATCGACTACTAGAGTTTTTTTCCAAATAGAGAGCAGGACTTCTATTAGAGAGACATTATGAAGTTACTTTTAAAATGGCAACAAATCATACAAGTCGTACAAATCCGAAGCTTCTTAATTAAAATCATGTACTTCATATAAAAATAATAGATTTCCCCAGTTCGATAGGCAAATACCCGTCCCACAATCGTGCATAGCGGCATCTCCACTATCTTTTTTGGCCACTGTGATTTTTTTATCCTCCGTCAATCTCATCATCATCGCCGATGGCACAATCTCTGATTTATTTCCCGTCTTTGCTCTATTCTCTGATACCTTACAGTGGGAATCAATTACCATCCCCCTGGTTAAGTACCCACTGTATGCGAGGTAAGTAAGATGGTTCAGAAAGTACCCAAGTGGCGGCCTTGAGAGGAAGGATAGAATCTCATAGTTCACCACGAGTTTAAGTTGCTTTCGGCCGGCACTTGATTCAGCACAATTGGTCAAAACTAAGTACCTCGGAGGACAAAATTTTTAATAGAATCGATAGAAAACACTCAAATTAGAATAAATATAAAATTTGATACGTCAAGTAGTTTTGTCTCTACAACGGTTCAAATCATCATATTTTCGAAAAAAAATCGGTATATTTTTCTGCGGCTCAAATATTTACATTTGTCCACGCCTGTAGTACTGTACTTAGTTCATCTAATTTGAAAAAAAAAAAATTGAAACAGTTTAGCTCTAATTCTTCTTTATTAGAGTTGTGAAAGGTGTGTTTTTCGACGTATCAAAAATTCAGCTGCGAGGCTTGCGGTTCTAAAAATTATTCGCGTTTTTTGATGACCACTTTCTCATATTTTATGAGAACAACATAACTGTTCCATATCAAACAACAAGAAGAAAACAAAACAAGACTCCAAGCGACACGATCTCTGACCAGCAGCAGAAAAGCGAACAGGATGCTCCTTTATAAAATTGGTTCTCCAAAAAAAAAAAAATACTGTGGAGAAGATGGTGACAAAAGTGGGGAAGGGGATTGCAAAATCTTCATTAGTATCTTCCATGTAGAACTTAAAAATTAGATTTCACAGTAAAAACAGTTAGTTCATCAAGGTGTTGGGAAAATAGGAGGGGATAATTTTTCCTTATATTAACATGTTTTTGACATTGAAAAATGATATGTTGTGCGCTTTCAGGCTGTTTACATATATCGCACAGGTATGTATCTGCAGCACCTATGCGGTTCAAAAAGACCTTGTCATATGTCACTCCAACTTTAAGTCTATTAATGAGCTTAGTTTCTGCAGGACTTAGACTTGCCCCTAGAAACCATGTTTTTTTTCAATTCAGCATTAGAAGAATCAAAGAACAATCTCCCATAATTCAGCGTAATGTTTTTTTCCATTCAGCCGAGACTCTATGTACAATATT